AAAACACACAAAAAAAGAAAAACCAACAATCCTTCTTCATACCTCACATTTAACTGGTCATCAAATCCCATCAACCTTAATAGTAATGTTTTTTATCTCCATCTCAACCACATCTGCTGCCTCCTTAGACTCCTTTTGTCTAGACGTCCAGTTCATTTTTGCACAGTCTCGCGACCTCTGATCTGAACACGCTATCACTCTCATAGCACTACTTGGGTCCATATCCATGACTTCATGAAACAGCTCCTGTCTACTTCTCTGCAAATACTGCTGCATGCAAATATGATATTTATCTCTCTCTAGTCTCAGCATTTAGCTTATGATCATGCATGGGGTGTGTGTTCAGTTAACACCTGCCAGGTGAATAAATACTGGATTATGAGATCCCAAGATGTCATTGTTTGAAGGAAGTGAGATGGGTTCGTCAATAAAATTCCTGCTCCCAACTCCATTTCTAAATGCTACTGCCCAGTCTGACACTCTGTAGACTGGTCACTGGTTTGACTTTGTACTATGAACTCCAATCCAAGGCCATCCCTTTCACCTTTGTTGTCATTTAACTCTTTCCTTTTTTTTTCCCATGCAAAGCAATAAAAAAATAAAGTTTTCAAAATTATTGAAACACTTAGAAAGATGTGAAGGAAAAGAATGAGAGGAAGTCCATGTTCACCAGAGAACATGACTTTTCCAGGGTGTGAGAAAACAAAATGACATAAAGACAAGGAAAAGAGACATGTTCTAGGGGGACACAGGATTGAAAGGCAAGTCTGAAATTCTCTAATTCTTTTGTTATTTTTCTTTTTTTTTAAGAGCAAAATTGTTCCAATTCTTAACATCTGCTATGGATAATAAGACATAGTACAAGGTTCATTATTAAAAAGGATACATAGCACTAATTTAAACATTGATTCTTCTAATGATACTTCTCTAATTCTTACATAAGATGGGAATAGGAAGTGCCCTCAACCCGCCCTTAACTCAAGAGACCACCTCTTTTTTTTTTTATCATAGATTTGCATTTTATGGCTGCCTTCCCAGCTGTGGAAAGCAACCTCTGACCTCACTGAAGGACCTAGGAGACTCTGGCAATAGGGCCTGAGGACAGGGGTGGAATTCTGGCTGGATGCAGGTCATTAGGACCTGGATGCCCTCAGCCAGTTCTTGACCAGAGCTGAGGCTTATTTTAGCCAGTGTTCTCTCCCACCAGTCCTGTCCCGGGACATGAACTCACAGCCTGAGCACAACACCTCTAATTTAGAAGTGACCGGAAGAAAACAGAAGTGTTATCTGAAGACATAATGGACTGGGACATGTGGGTGGGCCTGAAAGCCAGTTCCCCACAGGACAAGACCTGTGTCTCTTCTGGGAAAGCATCCTAAGGAACCTAGAGGAGGCAGAGACAAGGAGGCAATGTCACTCAGTTCTGAGTGACAGAGAGGGAGTATGGAGCAATGTCAGAGCTGGAAAGGAGGAAGCTGTCACACAGAAGTCACGCCCAGATGGCGGCAGATGGGGTGAATGAATGGCTGGTGTGTGCTTTTCCCCGTTTTTTTTCCCCATAGACCAAAAATAGCTCTTAAAAAAAATGAAAGCATATTAATTTGTTGTGTGGTGCTGAGGACAGAACCCAGGGCCTTCTATAGGCAAAGCCTAAACTTTAACACTGAGCTATAGCCCTTAAAATACATGGATTGGAAAGAAAGGGCTCTGGTCAGTTCCGGAGAAATTTCTTATCCGGAGCCAGTCTGAGATGTCAGGGGGGCTGTGGCTTAGTCTGGGCTGAAAATTCCCTCCATTGCTAGCAAGTTTGAGTCCAATCGGCTGAAAACAGCTGTCTGTGCTAGTGGTGCTGGGGGAAATGAAAATGAATGTGGGGTGAAGACAGCAAAAGGCATTATATGTGGAAAAAGAGGCCAAGAATAAGGTCCTGGCAAGAATTTGGAGGGAGAGGACCAACAGAATGCAAACCTCAAGCGCTCTCTCTCTCTCTCTCTCTCTCTCTCTCTCTCTCTCTCTCTCTCTGCTTTTTGGGTCACACCCAGCGATGCACAGCACAGGGGTTACTCCTGTCTCATGCACTCAGGAATTACTCCTGGCAGTGTTCAGGGGACCTTATTGGATGCTGGGAATCAAACCTGGGTCGGCCGCGTGCGAGGCAAATGCCCTACCCGCTGTGCTATCGCTCCAGCCTCTCAAGCACTCTCTAGAATGGTGCTAGCTCACATTTGGCTACTGGCTTCAACGACCACTGAACATTTGAAATGTGGCTAGTCCAATGTGAGATGAGCTGGTCAGCTGGTCACTGTCTTCCCGTTGTTCATCGATTTGCTCAAGCAGGCCCAGTAACGTCTCCATTTTGAGACTACTTGTTACTGTGTTTGGCATATTGAATATGTCACAGGTAGCTTGCCAGGCTTTGCCGTGAGTGTGAGATACTCTCGGCAGCTTGCCGGGCTCTCCAAGAGGGGCGGAGGAATCGAACCCGGGCTCGACTAGGCTGGCTGCATGCAAGGCAAACGCCCTACTGCTGTGCTATCGCTCCAGTCCCCGTCAGCTGGCATAAAAAAAAAAAACAACAAAGTAAAAAAATCACTATGACTTTTACATTGATCTTACCATAAGGTGATTATATTTGGGTCTGTAGGAATGAATAAAACATATCATGGAAGTTAATTGCTGCTGCCCCTTTTTAACCTTTTTAAGTACCCCTTCAAAAGCTACTGGAGAAGTTAGCTTGACGTAGGGGGTTCCCCTCAGGTCTCTAGTGGGAAACACTCCCCTAGACATGGGGGTGGGGGGAAGGTTAAACTTTCTACAGTGTCAGGATGGGGAAACTTGAACACTGCCCTTGGACAATAAGGGAAAAAAAAAAGGTGAGCCCGGAAGTTGGGGACATGAGACATGCTGACAGATTAAGAATGAAAACACATTCGTTCGCAAGAATTTACTTAAGTAACGAGGCCAGCAAATAGTATAGCAGGTAAGGTGCTTGCTTTGCACGTGGCTGACCTGGGTTTGATCCTCAGCATCCCATATGGTATCCTGCACACCACGAGAGGTGATTCCTGAGTGCAGAGCCAGGAGAAACCCCTGAGCATTGCCAGATGTGACCCAAACACCCCCCAAATTTTTTTTAATTTTAGGAAAATTCTGTTAAATTAAAATATAATTCATATGGAGGCATGGGGGGATAGTGGCTAAATGCATATGCCTCGTAAGCTTGGGCTCTCAGTTCCACTCCCACTGCAGCCTACAGGGGCCAGGTGTGGCCCTGGTGGTCGGTCCTTTAGGACTCCAGTGCCATAACAGAGTGTACAGCCCCCCGCAAGCACCTGTGCACACCATCAGAAGCAACAAAGGGGGAAAAGGAATTTTCATAATTAGCAAGTAGTCGTGAAACACGCTTCTCTTACAGCGACGTTCAGCTTTTCAGGAACATACACCCTTAAAACAAAGCACAGGTCCAACTTCCCAACACCAATAACCTCCATTCACGTCTGAAAGTAAAAGAGACAAAAAGCCAATTCTGCCCCATGGGGCAGCAGGAAAGCGGGAAAATAAACTTGTCTACTGACACCCAGACAGATTGAGCTGAGATTTCCAAACCCGAGACCGCCGACTGTTCACACACAAACACCCAGGACTTCGGGTGTGTGCAGGCTGGTGCTGGCTAGAACCCAGTCTACTCTCTGAGCCACATCTCGAGAAATATAAACCAAAGTGCAATGCCTACCCCCAAGTGAGCCCAGCTGGCCACAGCCAGAAAGTGCCCTCCTCTGACCTGATCCCCTGTAAGGGTCTGGTTTATATCATGCTTATGTCCACGGATGGGCAAACTCCAGACCGGTCCTGCCTGGAACGGCATCTGCTCTAGTCCCTTGGCCGCAGAGAAGGACATGGACCCACCAGAGACGGGTCATTTGCTGAGATCTCACTGAGTCAGTGTCACTCAGGTGAAGCCCGGGTGGACCTGAATGTTTCCTGATGACCAATGTGATCCACCCGAGAACAGGGCAGGGCTGGCACATACAGGTTTTCAGGCTGCTTAAAGAGCGTCTCTTGAGAAGATGCACGCTCAACCCTTTCACACCCCATGCCCTGTCCGGGGAGCCCAACCCAGCCTTCCTCCCACCCTTCTGGGCTGCGGCTCCCCCCGCCCCCAAGGCCAGTTCATTGTCAGAGCCGCAGCGGCACCTCCAGCCAAGTCTCCCTTGTCCCCTGTGCTCCTCTCGGCAGCCTGGCATCTACCCATGCTCCTCCCTGCATGTGGACAAAGGATGGCGAGTGCAGCGCTGGCCCCCAGAACCAGATCACTCTGGCCGCCAGGAAGGTGGTGAGCACTTGAATGCCCAGACAGGGGTCAGGCAGCTCCTTCCAGAGCTTTCTCCAGCCTCCTGCATCCCGGTCAGGACTATCCAGGCATGCTCTGCTCTCATGTCTCAAATAAACTCACAAAACACCCTCCTATCCTCTTCAACCCAGCTCTGCCAGGCCCGGGTTCCAGAGCAGCAGGTCAGCATTCGTCATGCAAAGGTGCCCACGGTTGTCACCCCCGGGGGGGGAGTTGGTAAATGAAGATAAAAATACAACACTAAGCGCCTTGAACGGGAAGCATCTTTCGGCTTGGAGGTCTACCCACCTCACTTCCATCTCCCCCTTGTAGGCTCTTTCTGCCCACCAAGGACCAGAGATTCTGCCTGAGGTCACCTCTAGGCAAAGGACACACATGAACCAGAATATCCCATTCTCTCCTCCCCGACCCTCCCAGGGTCAGGAGACTCGATGGCCACTCTGAGCCCATGTACCGAGGCCCTGGGGGACAGTTGGGCTCCTCCTTGGGCCTGACTCAGACAAGGGACTAGAACTGCTCAGCGACCCCAGCCAGGTCTTCACACGCATCCACCCGGCCTCTGGGTGACGAGGTGTGCAGCCAGGACTGCAGAGGACGCCAGGCCCGCTGTGACTGTGGCCGGCCGCCAGGCTGGGAGGACGCCCCTTACCTTTGCAGGTGAAGCATTTGATGTGGAAGTGCTTGGTCTGCACCCGGAGCACCTCCCCCTTGCACGGCTCCCCGCATTTGTGGCAGTGAATGATGGGCTTCTCGGCGGGGTGCTGGGGGTCCTGCGGGTGGGCCACTGAAACAAAGCAGAGCGAAGAGCTGGTGAGCAGAGGCATCGACATGGGGGGCCTTGGGCCGGGTGCTGAGGCTCGAAGGGGGACCATGTTCTCCAAGCGGAAAAGGTACCCCTGTCCCAGTGCTCTCAGAAGGACACAAAGGGAGCAAACATGATGACCTGTACTGTACTCAGTGCCTGTACTGCAGACCACAATGCCCCAAAGGGCGGAGGGGGAGAGAGACAGAGACAGACAGAGACAGAGACAGAGAAACAGATAGAGACAGACAGAGGCAGAGAGAGACAGAGACAGAGAGATACAGAGAAAGAGAGACAGGGACAGAGAGACAGAGAGAAAGAGAGACAGAGACAGATATTCAGAGACAGAGACAGAGAGATAGAGAGAGACAGAGAGATAAAAAGAGAGACAGAGATAGAGAGAGACAGAGATAGAGACAGAGAGATAGAAAGACAGAGAGATAGGGACAGAGAAATAAAGAGACAGACAGACAGAGACAGAGAGAGATAGGGAGAGAGGAAAGAGGAGAGAGAGAAAGAGAAACAGAGAGAGAGAGAGAGAGAGAGAGAGAGAAGGAAAGTGCCTGCCGTAGAGGTAGGCTGGGCAGAGGGTAGCAGGGGCCATAGGTAGTGGGAAATGTACACTGGTGGATGAGTGTTAGAACACTGTATGACTGAAACCCCTCCAACCATGAACAGTTTTGTAACTGTGTGTCTCAGGGTGATTCAACTAAAAAAAATAAAAAGGAAAATAAGAAAATTGTGATTTGGGAGATGTAGGGTTGGGAGGATCCCAGCTTGGTCCCGCTCTGGGAGGTGTAGGGTTGGGGGACGCGGCCTGGTTCTGCTCTGGGAACTGGCCATCATTGATCTTCCTCCCCAGCTCCTCCTGGATTACTTAACCAGATCCCGAGCGTGTTTAATGCACAGGGTTGGTCACACGCCTCTGCTTTATGTACAAAGGACCGTACACGCAGCATGGCTCATGCAGACTGTTCCTCAGCGATGAGGACGATTTCATCCAGTTTCAATTTTTTTCCTCCCTATTTGTCCATATCCTTCCCCTGCCCAGTTGCTTAGGGCCAGACCAAATACTTCTGTACCCCCGGGCTCGGTAGGTGTCGCTGAATAGATGATACGGGCTACCTCAGTGGCTTTGCCCATCACTCCCAGCGGGGCCCCGGTCTCCAGATTGTGGAGCATGGCAGCAGGCACCAGAGCTGATAAGATCTGTCCCTGCATAGCAGATAAGAGCTGTCCTGGCGTGGTGACCCAGTAGGGGGTGTCTTGGCACATTTGACAAGCACCAATCATCTGGCCTTGAGTCTCAACCCCCCAAGCATTGTCACCTAAATTTAGCTAGTCTTTCCTTACTCTAGCATCTAGCCCTAACTGGGATTGGGCCGGGGCAAAGCAGAACTGGAAAGGTGATAGGTCAGTAACGCTAAACTTTATGTGATTGGACCATCCTCTTAAGCCGAGACCCTCTATAAAATGTGTTTATTTGGCAATAGAGCGAGTGACCATCAGCTGTCTCCGGGAGAGGTTTCTCCACATACCTGTCATCTTTCACCCCGTGTCCACCCGGATCTGTTGCACAATGTGTCTGGGCACATTGGGGAAAAAATGTTCCCCAACACCTAGACATACCCCACAGACGGTCATTTCAAGACTCATTTCTGCTGGACTTTGTAAGTCACAGTGCCTTCCCTAAAAAAAATCATCATAACCGGGGTCCAGGGAATAGTCAATTGACGGAGCACCTGTCTCACATGGGAAAGTCCCAAGTTCAATTGCTGGCACCACATGCCACATGCCCAGCACTAAGGTCACAGCTGTCCTGGTGGCCCCCAAGCTTTGCTGAGGGTGGCCCTGAACCCCCAACTCTGCCCAGCGAAGTCCCTGTGAATACACAGATATAAATGAATAGCCAAGAGGCAGTCTCTGGGCCTGCTTGCTCTCGTGGGAAGTACCAGGGCTCAGGCCAGTAAAAGACAGTCTTGTCCAGCTGTGAGGTGGATGTTGTACCCATGCTGACAGCTGGGTCCGAGTGTGACCTTCGGAGGACAGATGTTACTGCAACAGCTCTGCCCTCTGCTGGGGTCTGAGCCCCTGACAAAGGACCCCGAGAGATGGCAGCAGGAGGAGGAGTCACTGAACAATCTAGCCAGGTAGGCAAGTGGGCACCTTCTGCTCTGAGATTCCTTTCCTGACTTGGGGCTTCCAAGAAGGAAGAGCCACATGATGTGTAAATGCCTATCACAGGAGGACCCCCTCGGGCGTGAGACAGAATAAGAACCGCAAGCTTGCAGTTCACTAAAGGGGACAAAGAACAGAGCTGGGCTTTTCCTGCAGAGCTAATGCAGAGTTGGACAGGGCAGATCCTGCGGAAACTCAGTTTAGCCAGCACTGACCGCAAGCAGCTCCGGGAACGCCAGTAGAATTGCTCATTGTTTCTCTTGGGCCACAGACATGCTCGCATTTCATCTGGATGGGACTGTCCAAGTAATTCATTACAAGCTAAATTCCAAGGAACAAGGTGCTTTTCTTGTGAGTGCTGGACCAGGTGCTGGTGCAGTCTTAGTCCAACACCCGATCCCCATCATCTGAGGTGGATCCCAGGAGAGGTTGGCACAATGACTGTGATACTCCTGACTGTCCTCTACCCATGGGGATTTCCCCCAGAAACTTGATTCACACCTCAACTTCAGGGGAACTAAGGAACTTTCATCATCTCTAAACAACCACCAACAACTAAAGAGTCATGAGACAAGCTCCTTGAGTATGACAATAAGAGAAATGATGATCACGCTGGACAGGTACTGAGTATTGAAAGTAGGTAAAGGGGTACACATGATAACCTTTCAGTATCTGTATGCAAGTCATAATGCCCAAAAGGAGACATGCAGACAGATAGACACACAACCGGGGGGGGGTACCTGCCACAGTGTGGCGGGGTAGGGGGAGGTGCAGGTGAGGGAAGGGAAACTGGGGACATGACATTGGTGGTGGGAATTGTACACCGGTGAAGGGACGGGTGTTGGATTATTATATGACTGAAACCCAATCATGAACAACCTTGTAACTGTATATCTCACTGTGATTCAATAAAAAGAAAATTTTTAAAAATCTACAAGAAAAATAAACAAACATTAGAATAAAGTTTCTAGATGAAAATTCAAAACAAAAAACAAAACAAGTTCCCAGGGCTGGAGATGAGCAGGGCCCGAGTGATAATGCAGCAGGTTGGGCAACTGAGTTGCCTGCAGCCAACCTGGGTTTGATCCCCAGACATTCCCTATGGTCCTGAGACTGGACAGGAGTGATCTCTTAGTACAGAGCCAGGAGTAAGCCCTGAGCACTGATGGGTTTATGGCTCAAAACAAACAAAAAAAGGGAGAGGGTTAAGATGTTCACCTTGACAGCTGGAATAGAGAAGGGATCACTAAGACAACGATGGTTAGAGGAATCAGTAGGGATGGGAGATGTGTGCCAAAAGTAGATAAAGGACCAAACATGATGGATTTCAGAATCTGTATTGTAAACCATAATGCCCAAAAGAAGAGAGAGAGTATGGGGAAATTGTCTGCCACGGAGGCAAGGGGAGGGTTGGAAAGGGGGGTATACTGGGGAGATTGATGGTGGGGAATGTGCACTGGTGGAGGAATGGGTGTTTGACCACTGTATGACTGAAACTCAAACATGAAAGCTTGTAACTATATCTCACAGTGATTCAATTAAAGAAAAAAAAGGTGTTTGCCTTGCACATGGTTGACCCAGATTTGATCCCTGGCACCACATGGTCCCCTGAACACCACCAGGAGCGACTCCAAGCACAGAGTCAAGAGTAGTCCCTGAGCACTACCAGATGTAGCTTGGACTTTTTCCCTTACGCTCTACCCTCCCCCGACAAAAATATTCACCACCAACACCCAAAGATGCACAGTGGTGTGCGTCTCACTCCCATGCTCACACTCCTGTCAGGCGATTTGTCTAATTCAGACATATTTAGGTTGGGCGAGAACGGGTCACCGCAGCTGAAGTAAAGCAGCCTTGATTTTGCCGGGTGTAAGCGGATTCTGAAGGCATCCCTGTGCCTGCTTGACACACAGGAGCCCTGGGTTCCAGCCTCAGCATTGCAAGGTCCCTGCGCCCAGCGCCTCTGGGAGCAATGCCTGAGCAGGAAACGGGGAAGAAGCCCCAGGGCCCCACCAGGCATGGTCCCACCCAAAGCAAAACCAACATCATTAACAGTATTCTTAATAGCAACATAGTACTGTTAGTGATGATGGTCTGGTCCACCAGAGGCTGTAACCCAAAGGGATGGGGTGGGGGAGTTTGGGGACGGGTTGGGGGATGAAGGTATCCTGCAATGAGAGCATCAGTGAGCATCATCTCACACAGGACTGTTTGGACACGAATTCCCCCCAGAAGCCAGAGGACAGGAGCAGTCCCAGGGCCGGCCAGCACCCAGAGGCTCCTGGATCACAGAGAGAGGGCATTCCAAGGACCTGCCTGGCTCTTCTTTCCCTTGGCACCTGGATGTTCTACAGATGAGGCCAGGCGGCCATGCAGAGCACTGAGAGGGAACCAAGGGATCTTTCCGCTTCTCAGCTTCCCTTTGTCTGAACAGAGGTGCCGCTGCCAGCCCTGGAGCCAGGCATGAAGGTCAGAGCTCAGCCCAGCACCACCTGACTCTTCTAAGCATTTCCCTTTGGAAATAAGCAGAACACACAGTGAAGGGCTCCCAGCCCAGAGGAAACCTTTGTTTCCACCCCCAAGATGGGCCAGATCCTATCATGTTGATGGGCTTGTCCACCAATGGGCAGCCTCAGTCAACAGTACCTGTAAAGAAGTAGGGCTTTCTGGGCCGAAGAGCTAGTCCAGTTCCTTGCATGTAGCCAACCCGGGTTCTATCCCTGGTGCCCTGTCTGAGACCCCCAAGGTCCCACGGGATGTGATCACTGAGTATAGAGCCAGGAGTAAGCCCTGAGCACCACCAG